CAGCAAGTCCATTTGTCTCTTGGGCTCAAACTAGACATACAAATGCTCCTGTTGACTGAGCCTCCTTCAGAGCGCTAATAAACAAATGTACAGAATTGATCAGGAAGTCCAAATCAGATTTCTATCTAAATGCAGTCACAGAGAACCTAAATAACCCTACCTAGTTCTGGAAGATAATCAAATCAGTGTCAGTTTCTAATGTGTCCTCTGGCCTTCCTGACCATTTAATGATGGATTCTAATGAAGTGAAGGATAAAGCCAATATTGTAGGGTTTTTTAACAAGCACTTCATATCTGCTGGCTCAGTTTTTGATAATGGTGGGGCCCAGGCCTCTAATGTAAGCTCTGTTACAGTAAACTATGATATAGGCCCTCATGTGAACCATTTTAACTTTGAGCCTGTTTATTAAGCTGAGGTCTATAAAGAACTAAAGGGAATAGACACTCAAAAGTCTGCAGGTCCAGACAACCTGGATCCCTCTTAAAGATAGCAGCTGGTATTATTACTGAACCTGTGGCTCACATTTTCAACTTGAGTCTCTTGACCAATTCCATACCCAGCATTTGGAAATCAGCTTATGTCCTCCCACTGCTAAAGGGTGGAGATCCCTCAGATGCTAATAACTATTGCCCTTTCTCCAAACTCCCTATCCTGGCCAAAGTCTATGAATCCCTAGTGAACTCACAGTAAAAACACTTCTTAATTGAAAAGAACATACTGAGCGGGGTTCAGTCTGGCTTTAGATTGGGGCACAGCACCACAACTGCAGCTATGGCAGTGGCAAATGACATCATAAATTCACTTGATAAAAAGCAACATTGTGCTGCTCTGTTTGTTGATTTATCAAAGGCATTTGATTCAGTTGAACATGAATTGTTGCTAGCTAGACTCAGTAACATTGGTCTCAGTGAAGGGGCGGTAAATTGGTTTAGGAACTATCTTTCTGACAGAACACAATGTGTATATGCTGACAATCACAAGTCTAGCTTTCTTGAGATGAATAGTGTGCCCCAGGGTTCCATTTTAGCTCCTGTGTTCTCAATTTCTATTAATGATTTGGGAAATGGGATGCAACCAGCAAAGTTGCATCTATATGCAGTTGATACAGTCATATATTCATGTACTCCTTCTCTGGTTCAGGCTGTTGAAGAGCTCCAGACTGCTTTTCAGTCACTGCAGGCCTCCCTTTATGGTCTACAACGGGTCTTGAATGTACAAAAAAGTAATGACCTTAACCAGAGCTCGCACTCAGCCAGATAGGGTTAGCATTGTCACATCTGTTGACTTATCCATTGAAAAAAGTGTCATCCTACAAATACCTAGGTCTATGGTTGGATGACAAGTTGTCCTTTAAAGGTCATATGGATAATTTTGTGAGGAAGCTTAAATTGAAATTGGGTTTTTATTAACGTAATAACGCTTGCTTCCCGCTTATGGCTAGAAAGAAGCTTGTTCAGGCCACTTTTCTCTCTGTAATTGATTAAGGTGACCTGTTGTATATGCATGCAGCCTCCTCTGTCTTACAGAGACTGCACTCTGTTTATCATGCATCCTTTCGCTTTATTACAAATACCAAGTCACTCACCCACCATTGCACCTTGTACCAAATGTTGGGTCGGACCTCACTTTATATGCGCAGAAAGCTACATTTGTATGTGTTCGTCTACAAAGCCCTTTTGGGTAAACTCCCTCTTTACCTCTGTAGTCTGGTCTCCTTCACCACCAGCAGTTACCATACCCGGTCTGTTAGGTGGTTGCTACTTAAAGTCCCCAGGACATTTACAGTATTCGGCTAGACTGTCTTCTCGTCTTGTGCACCAGAGGCATGGAATAGTCTACAATCCATGCTTCATCTAGATATGTTAGTGCCACTGAATGAATTTACATTTTTAATGGGAGACTCTGTTACAGAGGAGTGTAAATGCTTATTTTGGGCTGGATCATGTTGTTGAATTGTATTGTTGTATGTTTAATTCTGTAATGTATTGATTGTTGCTGCCTTCTTGGCCAGGTTGTCACGACTTCCTCCGAAGCTGCCTCCTCTCCTGGTTCGGGCAGGCTTCGGCATTCGTCGTCGCCGACCTTCTAGCCACTGCCGCTCCTCATCTCTTGTTTTGTCTTGTTTATTACACACACCTGGTTCATAGACCCTCATTAGTATGTGTATAAGTGTTCCCTCTGCCCCCTTGTCCTTGTGGGTGATTGTTTATTGTGAGGAGAGTGTAGCTCGGTTGAGCGCCGTGTATTTTGTATTGCCGGGGTATATTTTCCCCATGTGCCTGTTTGGTTCCAGTGCGCCTGTTTTGCGCACTGGACTGTTTGACGCATTTCTGTGTAACTCTGTATTCCGGAATAAACTCTGTATTCTGTGATTTACCCTCCTGCGCCTGACTCCTTCAAATCACCCATCACACAGGTCTCCCTTGAAAAAGAGACTATGGGTCTCAATGGGCCTTTCCTGGTTAAATAAATAAAATACAATTTGGTATTATTACAAATATTTCTGATTGAATTTAATCATCTAGTTAAGACATTATCCATAGTTAATAATACAAAGAATGACATGTTCTTGAGTCATTATGAGATTTTTTCTGAGTGAATACAATTGCCCTTTTTCTTTCTGTTTTGTATGTGTTTAAAGTCTCTTCTTGTTTTTACCTGTGTGGTTTGTTTTGCATTAGACATGTTTGATGTAGCGATGTAAATTGTTGATTGCTGGTAATTTGTATTTTTTTAAATTATACAAAAAAAGCAAGTCCATTTGGTGGAAACAAACCACTGGTTGAAAAAAATCTTGAATATTTGCATGAAAATCTTTCGCCAATTGAATGGAAACCTAGCTAATGTTTGTGTGTGTGTGTCTAACTAATGGCTTTTTGTGATATCAGCATAGCATTGGTGTTTACCCTCAACATGAAACAGCAACATTAGCAGCTCTTCGGAACTAATTTCCATAAGTGAAACGTATGTAGTCGTCTTTTGCCGCGTTCACGTACTATACATTCTGAAATTTCCGACTTGCTAACTGGTTGTAGTTATAAACATGCCACGTTCAAACAGTTAGCAAGTTGGGAATTTCAGTTTCCTGGTTCCGACTAGCACATTTATCAACATCCCTGTACTAATAAGGAAGACTGACGTCGAAACGTGTCACCTGTTCAGTGGCGACCCGTCAATCAGGGCTGGTTTGGCAGAGCCCCACCTGTTTTGAGCCCCACCTGCCCCACCTGTTTTGCATGTTATTTTGGCATTAATAAAAAATAATTGAGTTAATAAAGCCACATACAAACATGGTCTGTTTTTTGCTTTCTTGAGTAAGGCAGCTCCAAAATGCAGGTGTTTCAGCCTAGCTCAGTGTTTCTGTGGTGGTGGGTCAGCCAGCGGAAAATACAGAGCTTAGGGGTTGGTAATGTTCTTGAGTTGTGCCGTGATTGGCTCAGTGTTCTGTCACTCATGGGGACACTATGTCGCCACAAAATCTACGGGTAGAGCAAAAAAATTCAAGCCCCTTGGGTGCTGCCATAGATTTGTTTTGGTCATTGTTTTTCTTTGTAAGCCCTTCTCATCCCTCTACCAATAACTCAACTGTAGTCAGTGATAACAGGATGTTTTTCACTACTGTTCCCCAAACAGCATGTTTTCTTAACAAAAATACCAGCTAAATATAGTCACATCTAGGTACTTAGAGATACGGGCTCTGCTGTATTTCTAGTTACCACACATCCTTCCAATAGTTCATTTGTCAGCAGCACGGTGTAAAAAACAAACAAAAAACTCATGGTGAAACTGATGTGTAGGCCTATCTGTTTACTTTCTAAACAAATTAATTATAGGTAAACATTCCAAGGCCTATTGATAAAAATAGCTTATTATAAAATATTTAATAATTGTCCAATATATATTGGTCCTACCACACAATTATTGTATTTTTTAGATAAATAATTATTAATAAATGTGATTAATAAAAATATGTAACCCACTACTTTGAGTTAGAAACATAACTTTGCTATGCAGCACCTTATAAAAGGCTGGAGTGGCCACACACTTTTGGCAAACCAAGAACTGCATCAAATGTAACTGCACTAAACTGCACTCAAAGCTCATCTACAGGTAACAGACAAGATAAAGTAAACACTTGAGTAAATGACGGATACAAAGTATATTGAAAGCAGGGCTTCCACGCAGGTGTGGTTCCTGAGTTAATTAAGCAATTAATACATCCCATCATGCTTAGGGTCATGCAAACAAATGTCCAGTTGCCCATTATTTTGCCTACCATGGCTAGAAAAAGAGATCTCAGTGACTTTGAAAGAGGGGTCTCAAAGGAGCACAGGGGGTTTAAAGGGTTGTGTGTGTGTGTGTGTGTGTGTGTTTGTGTGAGTCTCAGTCACCATATCTCAACCCAATTGAACACTTATGGGAGATTCTGGAGCAGCGCCCGAGACAGCGTTTTCCACCACCATCAACAAAACACCAAATTATGGAATTTCTCGTGGCAGAATGGTGTTGCATCCATCCAATACAGTTCAAGACACTTTTAGAATCTATGCCAAGGTGCATTGAAGCTGTTCTGGCTCATGGTGGCCTAACACCCTATTAAGACACTTTATATTGGTGTTTCCTTTATTTTGGCAGTTACCTGTATAATTAATGCACATGAAAGGTTTATCTTACAGGTACACATTTACACCTGTGACAACCTATTTTATTGTGTAGATTACAGGCAGTTTGCTGTGAGGGCCCTGCTTGATCAAGGCCCTTCACCGACTATCTGATCATCAACTCATTTCCAAGTAAGTGGGTAATATTAGATTGATTTGCAACTTAACACTGCCCGGCACCTTGCTCAGCCCACGGAGCTCACACTGACCCTCCAGACCAGGTAGTTGAGTATAGCTCCATCTTCTGGGCATATGCTATGCACTTCAGGTAGGCTTTGCAGTGACCTACGGCCACAGGGAATTTTTGTTTCCACAAGAATCACACAAAACGTCCATAGGTTCCCTTATACTGGTAGGCCTATTTTATTTTAGGTTTTCATAAAACAGTCCAAATGATTACCAATCACAAAATACATATCCATGTTTTCTCCCCTTCTCATTCATATTGCTTAAAAAACAACAACACAAGCCATGAAAGTGAAACCAAGCTATACAAAATCATTATAGGGCAATATATTTAAAATGCTTTAAAGATAATTTATAAAAATAATCTACATCATTCATTACAAAAAAGTGTCAAAGACAGTGTCAGGTTCCACATGTCTCCTGACATCTGGCTCTCCTCCAGGGCAGGTTGTGATGGTCATCAGCTGATGTTTACAAGGTACTGAGAAACTCTTTGACCTGGATGAAAAGCACATAACAAGCTGTTAGCACACAATGAATATGGATTAGCGTCAATGTAATTGGTGTGTCAGGTCAGTGTAAGCGTTTGATGTGGACACAATGTGGAGCAAAGCTTGGACGTGCGAGAGGATGACAGTACTGCAACTGGACAAGAAGTGCAGGAATAATTCACCACAATGTGTGTGTGTGTGTGTGTGTGTGTGTGTGTGTTTTACTAATGGCTTTTTTGAAATCAGTCATAGCATCTGTGTTTACCCTCAACATGAAACGGCTACATTAGCAGCTCTTCAGGCCTCATTTCCATAAGTGAAACGTGTGTGTGTGTGTATGTTTGTGTATATGTTTGTGTGTGTGTATGTTTGTGTATGTGTGTGTGTATGTGTGTGTGTATGTGTGTGTGTATGTGTGTGTGTATATGTGTGTGTATATTTGTGTGTGTGTATGTTTGTGTATGTATGTTTGTGTGTGTGTATGTTTGTGTATGTGTGTGTATGTTTGTGTATGTGTGTGTACGTGTCTTTTTCAACATCCCTCTACTAATAATTTGACTGTAGTCAGTGATAACAGGATGTTTTTCACTACTGCCCTCCAAACAGCATGTTTTCTTAACACAAATACCAGCTAAATATAGTCACATCTAGCTACTTCTGAAAGACACTGTTGCATTGAAAAGAAATAGCAATTTCTATAAAAAAAAAAAAAAAAAAAAGGGCTGGATATGTATTCTTACCTTTTCCACCATGTCGGCACCCTTGACCTTGTCCCCTTTGAAATTTTCGTTAACATCTAGCGTCAGAATGGGCACGTCGTTCAGATACTTATACTCCATGCTGTGGGTCAGGACCAAGAGGGAATGGGACATACAGTTAAAGACAACGCAAGACACACACACAGTGCTTTATGCAATAAACTACTTTTTTTTTCTCAGGTCAGACTTTTTCCTGGTTGTTTCCTTGTTATTTAAAAGGTTATTTCCTTTAAAGCCCGGATCTGCAGTTGCTTTTCACAACAGAAGCCGCCCCACTGTTTGTGTTGTGAGAGAGAAAAAATAGAGTTTGATCGAAAAACATGGGGGTTTGGCCCAGCCCTACTCTATTTCTTCACTCTCACAACAAAAGCAGTGGTTCGGCTTCTGTTGTGAAAAGCAACTGCGGATCCAAGCCCTGATCTGCAGTTTCTTTTCCCCACAGAAGCCTTCCCACTGCTTGTGTTGTGAGAGATCCTTTTTTTGTTTGAACGAAAACATGGGGGTTTTGTCCAGCCATAGCCCCCGGACTGGCCTTGGGGAAAGGTGCATTTCTGCGCTAAATCCCGCCCACTCTAATGACCTTCATTGTGCCTCTCTCTGGGAGCCAGTGGAGTGAGAGGAAGCATCTCTAGCTACTACTACTGCCGCCAGACTTGAACTCAACAGACACAGCCAACACACACTGACAAGTGACAAAGTCAAAAATAAATGGCCAACGTTCTCCTGTTCAGGTCAGTGTTGACATTGTTGCCTTTATAAACAAGTTAGCCTGCTAGCTACTTGCTATCTAACTTTAGCTGCTAACCTTTGTGTGTTCGACAATGTAGCTATAAGTAAAAGTTAGCTAGCTAGCTAGCTTGCGTCTTGTATTCGGATTGTTTCGAACGTACTAATAAGGAGTCTACTCTAGCTAGCTACATCGTGTAAAATGCATGAACCTCACAAGATGCCCTAATGCTTTGTTTCAGCTAATGTTAGCTAGCTATCTAAAGCTAGATGTGCAGATTGTTGACATGACAGTGTATGGTTTGTTGATGATAATGCTACCTAGATAGGTGGTTGGCAGCATTTTCGCCTCATGGGGAGGTGTTCCAGAAAGCTGGTTTAACAAATTCAGGATTCCCTGAACATATCCGGCATCTCTTAACCAGATGAGGGAGCCCAGGATTTCTTGGTTCCAGAACGGCTGCAAAGCGTAGATTGGTTGATCCGACTGGCGCGTGAATGCAACATTCAAAAAGGTCCTCAAGTCGATGACAGAAAAAAGTCTAGAACAAGTCTAGAACAAGAAACAATTGTAACATACAACGAATATGTTCACGTTTACCCAAAATAGTAATACCCCTCGTCTTCTTCTGTTTAGTTTTTTTTCCTGTTGGCTGAATGAATACAGTGCAACAAATCATATAATCAGACAAATTGGCATTTAGATAAATCAAAGAAATGTGATGACTTTAAATGGCAAGGTACATGATTTTATGTGATAGTCAGGTGTTTCCTTACCAGTAGCCTGTGGGCCAGGGGAGACCATGGGTTACAGTTTATCCTGGCCCAGAGGCTATTTTCAGGGCAAGGAGCCATCTGATTATCATGAAATATCCCTAACTAATAATTTAATGCCCTTACCTATTTGTATGACGTTCTTGTTTTTAGTTTTGATCTGCTGCGAGGTTATTTTTGTTCCTATGGGGCTACAACTAAACATTTACATTTTAGTTATTTAGCAGACGCTCTTATCCAGAGCGACTTACAGTTAGTGAATACAATTTTTTTTATTATACTGTGGGAATCGAACCCACAACCCTGGCGTTGCAAACGCCATGCTCTATCAACTGAGCTACATCCCTGCCGGCCATTCCCTCCCCTACCCTGGGCCAATTGTGCGCCGCCCATGAGTCTCCCGGTCGCGGCCGGCTGCGACAGAGCCTGGATTCGAACCAGGATCTCTAGTGGCACAGTTAGTTGCCTTAGACCACTGCGCCACTCAGGAGTACATAGAACACATTGTTGCCTGTGTTGTCATGATAAGCACTCTATGAATTCAACACATGATTATTCATCCTACATAGGCCATGGAATGGGCCTACCATTGCAATTGTGACATATGTTACTACTACTTACATATTAGGCTATAGCCTTGAAATGTAATATCACCAGCATTGCAATAAAAGTGCTCTATAAAGTGAAAGCATTATTACTAATCACCCATGTGTACAGAAAAAAAGTGAAAATGTATCCACTCACTACTGTAGAAGAGTCTGCTAAATGACTAAACTAAACAAATAAACAAATGTTAAATGTGTGTAAGCTAGGCCTGTTAACTTTTCTGCCAGGGTCCCTCTCTTGCTTTTGCAGCAGCGGCTGTATTACTGTTTTTGATAAATATGTTACAATTGTTTCTTGTTCTAGACTTGTGAAATACTGGGCTCTGTCTTAAAAAAAAAAAAACGGTATTTTGACTCCATATCTATAATTTTTTCTGTCATCGACATGAGGACCTTTTTGAATGTTGTGTGCACGCGCCAGTTGTTGGATCAACCAATCTGCGCTTCGCTTCGAGAAGCAGCCGTTCTGGAACTAAGAAATCCCAGACTCACTCATCTGGTTAAGAGAAGCCAGATATGTTCAGGGACCATCTTTCTGGAATACCCCCCAATAGGCAAAAATTCTGCCAACCACCTTGCTAGCAAGCATTATCATCAACAAACCATACATACTGTCATGTCAACAATCTGGACATCTAGCTTTAGCTAGCTAGCTAATGTTAGCTGAAACAAAGCATTAGGGCATCTTGTGAGGTTCATGCATTTTAGACGATGTAGCTAGCTAGAGTAGACTCCTTATTAGTACATTCAAAACAATCCGAATACAAGACGCAAGCTAGCTAGCTAACTTTTGCTTATTGCTACATTGTCGAACACACAAAGGTTAGCTGCTAAAGTTAGATAGCAAGTAGCTAGCAGGCTAACTTGTTTATAAAGGCAACAATGTCAACACTGACCTGAACAGGAGAACGTTGGCCATTTATTTTTGACTTTGTCACTTGTCAGTGTGTGTTGGCTGTGTCTGTTGAGTTCAAGTCTGGCGGCAGTAGTAGCTAGAGACGCTTCCTCTCACTCCACTGGCTCCCAGAGAGAGTAATAATGTTTGTTCGTATGGGCGGGACTTAAGTGCAAAGACACACCTTTCCCCAAGGCCAGCCCAGCGGCTATGGCTGGGCCAAACCCCCATGCTTTCGTTCAAACTCTTATTTTTTCTCCCTCACAACATAAGCAGTGGGGCGGTTTCTGTTGTAAAAAGCAACTGCGGATCCAGGGTTTAAGCAGAAATGGCTTTGTAAGGGAAGACATCCATCTTTGTAAGGAAATTCACATCTCACAATATACCTTAGAAACAAGCCTGTTTCCTGTCTCATCCATCTTAATCTCGTTCCCAGACACTTCCACCCAAATGATGAAGAGTCTGGTGGACCAACACGTCAAACTTGGCCTTTGTTAGCCAATACAGAGAGATTAATTGGTTTAATCTACCAACCAATCATCTCCCACATCACCTTCCCCCTAACCCTCCCCCGTACGCAACACACCACAAGCACAGAGCCATGACTCGCAGTCGTGTGATTCGCTAAAATTAAATGATGACATATACTTTACTCAGTAGGTCACTCCATTGAATTTTATGGTCACTCCCACTAAGGCCAACGTTGAGTGGTTGATATCTCAGGCTTACATGTGATGTGCGCAATAGCCTGGAGACGAGGTTACATCCATCTATACAACACGTAAGTAGCTTAAAATGTAAAAGTTTGCTTTTTATTTAATGCTCCTATATACACAGACACACGTCCCTGCCTCAACCCACTCCCTTCCGTAACACTCCCTTCCTTCCTCCCTCACAATACCACCAACACCAATACACCTTCCTTCCTCCCTCACAATACCACCAACACTCCCTTCCTCCCTCACAATACCATCAACACTTCCTTCCTCCCTCACAATACCACCAACACTCCCCTCCTCCCTCACAATACCACCAACACTCCCTTCTTCCCTCACAATACCACCAACACTCACTCCCTCACAATACCAACAACACTCCCCTTCTCCCTCACAATACCACCAACACTCCCTTCCTCCCTCACAATACCACCAACACTCCCTTCCTCCCAATACCACCAACACTCCCTTCCTCACAATACCACCAACACTCCCTTCCTCACAATACCACCAACACTCCCTTACTCCCTCACAATACCACCAACACTCCCTTCCTCCCTCACAATACCACCAACACTCCCTTCCTCACAATACCACCAACACTCCCTTAATCCCTCACAATACCACCAACACTCATTCCCTCACAATACTACCAACACTCCCTCCCTCCCTCCCTCTCACCACATGGTTTTGTGCTGCAGCCAGCTCTCGTGTTTGAAGTGGAGTTTCTCAAGGTACTCCAGTGGAATGCTCTGCTCCTCCTCTCTGCCTCTCAGATGCAGCCTCTCCATGCATCTCTACACACACACACAAGAGAAGTGTACCTTAATGTAATTTTGTTTTTTTCTTTCTTTTTAGCACGAGGTGTATAGCAGTACGTAAAAAAACAATAGGCTACATTATATAATCTACTACAATGTAATTTAAATGTTTTGTACGGTAAGTTCCTGATGAACATGTACCGAGGTTAAGTTAGTTGCTGACCTCTGGTGCGGCTCGGAGGTAGATGATGCCGTCCAGCTCGATGTGTTTTCCAAACTGTTTGTGGAGCCAGCCGTGCCAGTCCTGGTAGATGGACCACTCTGTCTCGTTCAGACACTCACTCTCATACAGGTTCGCCGCAAAGATGTACCTGGAAACAGACACAACAACAACAAAGATGTACCTGATGTCCCGTAGAGCATGGCGCTTGCAACGCCAGGGTTGTTAGTTCGCTTCCCATGGGGGACCAGTATGAAAAAAGGTAAGAAAATGTATGCACTCACTACTGTAAGTCACTCTGGATAAGAGCGTCAGCTAAATGACTGAAATGCTAAAATGACTGAAATGAAACCGACACAACAACAACAAAGATGTACCTGGACACAGACACAACAACAACAAAGATGTACCTGGACACAGACACAACAACAAAGATGTTCCTGGACACAGACACAACAACAACAAAGATGTACCTGATGTCCCGTAGAGCACGGCGCTTGCAACGCCAGGGTTGTTAGTTCGATTCCCATGGGGAACCAGTATGAAAAAAGGTAAGAAAATGTATGCACTCACTACCGTAAGTCACTCTGGATAAGAGCGTCAGCTAAATGACTGAAATGCTAAAATGACTGAAATGAAACCGACACAACAACAACAAAGATGTACCTGGACACAGACACAACAACAACAAAGATGTTCCTGGACACAGACACAACAACAACAAAGATGTTCCTGGACACAGACACAACAACAACAAAGATGTTCCTGGACACAGACACAACAACAAAGATGTTCCTAGACACAGTCACAACAACAAAGATGTTCCTGGACACAGTCACAACAACAAAGATGTTCCTGGACACAGTCACAACAACAAAGATGTTCCTGGACACAGACAACAACAAAGATGTTCCTGGACACAGACAACAACAACAAAGATGTACCTGGAAACAGACACAACAACAACAAAGGACAGATGAGAGGGGGGTGCTTTGAAGCAATGTTCACTTTCTATGGAAGCTGTACAGATCCTAAGTTAAGAGAACTCTTGCCTTGGAAATAGAACTCTAAACCCTATCATTGGTATCATATCTTAGACCCTATCCTTGGTATCCAATCAAAGACGACATGTACCAAGGTTGACTCCCCTGGTGAGATTTCCGGTTCGTCCATACCTGTCACTGTAGACGGACCGCTCGAAGAACTGCACGGGGTTCTCTGCCTCTCTGAGCTTCCCATTGGTGGGTTTCATCTGGGCGCGGACCCTGCTCATGCAAGCGTAGGTCTGGAAGGTGTAGGCCCACCTCTCTGGCTTCTCATACATCATCTGCAGCACGTTGCCACCACTCTTCTGGGACGCGGTCAGCTCCTGGGGACAAAGAGGAGAGGGTGGGTTTAATACTGAGGCTAAGAGAGATACAGTACCATTACATGTACTGTATACCCTTGCACACCAAATAATACCACCACAGAAATACCACAGCAATACAGTTATAATCAAAGAGTAATCACAGCCGGAAGAATAAAACGTTATATTGTATTGTGTGTGTCGAAGAATGTTTGTGTTTGTGTGTGTATATTCTGTAGTATCGGGCTGTAGGCTAACCACTACTGGGTAAACAGAGAGAGTGAGAGTGGTGCCAGGCTCTGTGTGTGTGTGTGTGTGTGTGTGTGTGTGTGGTTGGTTAGGTGGTCCAATCTGACCACAGGTTACGGAATGTGTTTCCAGTTCGGGAATCAGTCACTGCACACATAACTCATCATTCAAAACCACTCTTCAATTTAGTCATGGGTGTGGTCAGTGTAGAAATGAAGTAGCAATTTCCAATGGTGGAAAAAGTACCCAATTGTCATACTTGAGTTAAAGTAAAGATAGCTTAATGGAAAATGACTCAAGTGAAAGTCACCCAGTAAAATACTAATTGAGTAAAAGTCTAAAAGTATTTGGTTTTAAATTTACTTAAGTATCAAAATTAAATATAATTGCTAAAATATACTAAATCAAAAGTAAAAGTATAAATAATTTCAAACTCCTTATATTAAGCAAACCAGACGGCACCATTTTCTTGTTTTTTTTTATTTACGGATAGCCAGGGGCACACTCCAACACTCAGACATCATTTACAAACGAAGCATGTGTGTTTAGCGAGTCCACCAGATCAGAGGCAGTAGGGATGACCAGGGATGTTCTGTTGATAAGTGCATGAATTGGAGCATTTTCCTGTCCTGCTAAGCATTCAAAATGTAACGAGTACTTTTGGGTGTCAGAGAAAATGTATGTAGTAAAAAGTACATCATTTTAATTAGGAATGTTGTGAAGTAAAAGTAAAAGTTGTCAGAAATATAAATAGTAAAGTACACATACCCCCCAAAAAACTACTTAAGTAGTACTTTAAAGTATTTTTACTTAAGTACTTTACACCACTGGCATTTCTCAATGAAAACATCCCAAGGTAGCCTACATAGAGAGCCTGTCTGATTCTAACGGTGGTGGGAGAGTGTTGGGGATGGGCATAGTACTTATTCACCATGTGGTGTAACGGTAATGTCAGAACACATCTTGATATGAGACGTTCTTAAAATACAGTGGACAAAACCAGCTGACTATGTAGACTGAGGAACTGAAAGAGTGGGACAGAGAAGAGAGTCAGACAGACATATTTGACATGATTGAACTGAAGATTGTGGTGGGGTGATGATGTATGGTGGGTGGGGCAGCCAGGGTGTACCGGTGGTCAGTAGTGGTGCCCTGCCCCGTCTCCATACTCAGCTGTTCATGGTGGGGGCCATCTATCCCCCTGGGTGTCTAATCTAACAGACACTGACCAGTGCAGTGGGACAGATGGCAGCTGCTTTATTATTCTAAACACAGCACATACTGTGTACAAACACACACTAGACTTGGGCAGTATACTGTACATACCGTATACAGGGGTATTTTGAATACCGTTAAAAATATATATATATACACGTGGCTGCGGGATTGCGTGCTATGCTACTGCTATAACTAACTATAAGTTAAAGTTACACTATGCAGAAATAGCTCCGCCATTTCCTGGTTGCTAAAACTCTAATAGTTCACCTAATTTCAGTTTATGTGACAAAATAAGATAGTATAGTGTAGAGGAATCATTGTACCATCCAAACCGCTGAGAAACGGCGGCAGGTAGCTTAGTGGTTAAGAGCGTTGTGCCAGTAACCGAAAGGTTGCTGGTTCTAATCCCCGAGCCGACTAGGTGAAAAATCTGTCGATGTGCCCTTGAGCAAGGCACTTAACCCTAATTGCTCCTGTAAGTCGCTCTGGATAAGAGCTAAATGACTAAAATGTTAATATATTTTCCATAACCAAAAATATTGTTGTTTCAGCTGTTTGAAGCTGGTGTACAAACCCAAAAGTAAAAGATGCACAAACAAAACTTAAGAACTGGGAGTATAGAAATAGTGCACATAGAACATATCTACCGCTTCTTAGACTTGCTTTCAATGAGAATAATAAGTCTATAACTCACATTTCTATGTGAATTTGGTCAGATCGCCCAAAAAGTTACATATTACCACTTTAACTATCTACGATGTGACAAATAAATGATCTCCAGCTCAGGACTCCAGCTATGCATTTGGTTTGCTAACTTGCTAGATATGTGGCTAGCTTGCAAGATCACGCTTCTTGGTTACAGCAGAGAATCTGCCCACGGTATGATTTTCAATACTGTCAAAAAGAAATAAATACGTTTGGAAAGAAGTAGCGCCCATTGTATGCACTGCCGGTAATACTGTATACCCTGGTATGATACAGGAACGGTATGAAGGTATTAACATCTGGATACCCTCAACCCAAACACACACACACACACACTCACTCTCAATGCACACTGTCATACTCAGATGTCTCTCTTGAGATCTTAGGCCGGGCGGGCAAATGTGAGATGGAAATGTAAACTGTCTATCATGACACACACAGCTATCACACACACAGAAAAATATGTATCTACACAACATTTACATTTTATATATCTGTCCGTACACCAGGGGTAGGCAACCCTGGTTCTGGAGTGACGCAGGCACTTATTTAACTGACCTGGAAGACCAGAATTGTTGAATTTAAGCAATCACTGAACTGATCAATTAGCCTAGTTAGAACAATATCCTGCTGTACCTGCGGCACTCCAGGAACAGGGTTGCATACCCCTGCCGTACACCCTGACTAGATCCTTACTAGCAGCTGTCCCATTATGACAACATTCAGGGTTCCTCTCTGACTGGTTTCACTGGCGAAGCATCACCATCCGTTCATTCCTCCAGGGATTAATGTTATCTAGGCTACACTCAAAATGGCACCCTATGCCCTAAATAGTGCACTACTTACTACTAGAGCCCTATGGGCCCTGGTCAAAACTAGTTCACTACATAGGGAATAGGGTGCCATATGGGACGCAATCCTAATCTCATTTCAGATCAGTTCCTGGTGTTAGCAATGCTGCTGGAAAGTCAAGGTGGGTCTTGTGATACAGCTTTAAGTAGGCCTACTGTAATCTCATGGAGTTTACAGTAAGGCAGAACTGGATATGAGACCTTTAAACCACTAGGGAGGGAGCGGATAGCTAATACTCTCTCTTCACTTATCTATACGTCATAAAGATTCAGCACTGAGCCAAACATGTAGGCATGAGTCATGTAAGAAATGGCCAATCTTAGCATCTGAAGTTGAACTCTTGAACTTTTTGCATGGGTTAGTATGTATACTGTATCTGTGTGTGTTCATTAATCACAGGTCAGACACATTTGAGGGATAGACACATTTGAGGGATGGATGAAAGTTCTGTCAGATATGCATACTGTACCTCAAACTCGCTTTGTTGTGTTTGTACATTGCACCACCTGGCGACGGGTTCGGGCACTACCTCCCAGTCTTTGCTCTGTGCTTCCAGAAGGCGCACAAATGTAGATTTGCCCGCAGCTGCGGAAACGATACTGAAGTCAGTTTCCATTTCCACAATAACCCCGACTGCTATACAATTTGAAGTTCAACCATTTCAATATCTATTTACAATCTTTGCAGACATTACAGTTGAAAATAACTACAGTATTGCGACTGCCAACTCTCACTAGAATAACACGGAAGCCTTGGTGCGTGACATTAAACTAATTTCTGTCATATCCCACGCGCACTGTCAAATTGGGGGCACGCGCCTCAGCTAGCTACATTATTTTATTTAATCAACGCTAGCTACATGGCACGCTCTATAGCTAAACGTTTTACAGTTACGAGCTAGCTAGGAACAGTATATAAATTGTATTACTTTTAGCAATCCTACATCCAAAGTGATGACAATTTTAAACTAGCGTTACTTACCAATGTTACCTTCTATTGAAATTCGTTTTGTCTTGTCCATAGTGTCGTTTAAGGGAGTAGGACCTGCTCTCTTCGGCGGCGTGGGCAACATATTTGTTTTTTGAGATATTTGGTCTATTTTTCTTGAACTCCAAGGTTTCGTTACAGCTGTCTGAATGTAGTTCTGGTAGGGTGAGTAGCTACAGTTCAGATGAAATATTTATTTGGTTCAGATGGAGCGTTTTGTGACGTCATGTTTGAAACTTTGGCGGCAACAGCTTAGTCATACTGTAGCAGCCTATCATGGGTGTTTTCTAAAGTTTGTGGTAGGAGGGAGATAGCACCGCCTACTATTTTACTGTTTGTCGCACCACTGGTTATAATGACCCTATACAACATTTTATCAACGAATATGAATAGGATTTGATCGACACAAGCCATAATACTACATGATACTGTAGGTCTAGTTTATTTTCCTCAGAAGTGAGACTCAATTCAATTGGTTTAGGCAACTTTATTTTCCACAAAAGTTAGACACAAAGAATCTGGTCAAAGAACACCTTTATTTCCTTCATAAACAGCATTCAGTATCTTACAGTTCAGTAACTTTCAAATTCCCTAGCCAATTCATTATTTACAACTCAGTCATTAGAAGATTCTCTATATTACAGCAATGGGAATATACAGACAGGGGATCAAATTCTGCTGTGATAAACAAGCATTTTCATGTTCTCAGAGAAGCATGGCAGATGGTTTGTTACTTTACCACCTTCTGAACAACACAATCATGTTCATTTTCTAAAGCTAAGTCAAAATAACACATTGATATATACGTAAGAAGGAAATATGACATGGTGTAACCTAATAACATTTTAGCATTCGTTAATAGACTTACAACTACCAGTCCATGCCGGCTACCAAAATATGACATCAAAGCAAAATTCTAGCCGCATTGTTGTATTTACAGTATGGATTTCATAGCAGAAATTAGTTGCATCTCCATATCAAATCTTCCTGAAAAGATAACAATATAAAATGGCATTTAAACAACATATTCCATTGCTTTCATGTTTTACTTCATACTGTAGTAGGTCTATAGTTAAGTCCTACAACAAGGTGTCTCAGTACCAATATCTACTACTTTAAACACCACTACCTCTGAATAACACACGGAAAGAAAGCATTTGATCCCATCTGTATTAATGGAAAATAGTAATCGTTTACACTTTGAAGAGTGGCATGACCATTATTGCATAGTAAACATTTTCATTTTGGATTCCATCCCTCTGCAGCACAGCAATATATTACTCAACAGACCTTACAAAAGGCATAGGAAATCACACGATTGAAAGAAGCATACGCAGATAGCACTGAATGTGCTATTATAGTTTACTACGTGGCTCATCACTTTAGTAACATTATATGGGGAGAAGATGCAACAGTAGCCTAAATGATATAGTTCAGTACAGTTTCTAAAAGAGAAGAGACAGCATATTTGCCATAAAGGAAAAACATTCAGGCAAAAGAGGTCAGGAAACTGTTCAAAGTGCTTCATGGCTGGTAAGACAACAAAGGCTATAACTATGGTGCTCTTGGCCTCAAACACAATATTTTACTTGTATACTGTATGTGGCCCATCAAATACAGCTTTTGCCATTACTGGATTACTGGCATTGTAACAGTTTAAACTACTGCAGTTGTATCTAGACGAAAACAGACTTTAAAAAAATGACCATATGTTTTGAGGCAAATTAAAACATGGACCCAAACCTCAGATTTAAATTTCTTCATTCATATTAAAGCTGCGCTTTTATAGTTACATAAAGTAACACTTCAATGGAATCTCAAGAGAAGCCAGTGACGGCAAATGTTCCCTTTTGTAGCCACCAGTATGTTGTGCATTTATTTTGTTGTTCTGTGGGAGAGTGAGTGAACTAGCCTCATACTACCATCTTGATCTCGCAAGCTTACATATATATGTTTGCCTACACTGACATATTTATGTAAGCTCACGAGATCAGGATGGTAGTACGAGGCTAAGCGTGAACCATAAATCAGGCACTTCGAAATATCATCAACTCTGTTTGATGAATTATACCAACTCTGTTTACAGTTTTATCAATGTACGTTTGATGCGTTATATATCAACTCTTGTTTGGTGAGTTATGTCAACTGTATTTGGGTTTTGGTTAGCCCACAATCCATTAAATCCAGTCATTTCATTATGCCAAGACCAGGCAATGGGGTCATTTCTTCAACCTAATGTAAGGAGTTTTGTTGCAGTTATCACCAATGTGACCAATATGCTCAAATATTTGTACAATAGTTACGTAGTCCTTTATTTCTTACATATCCTCTATGTATGAATGTGCCATCTATAGTGGTAGGTTTTAGTATGAGCATCTGATAAATATACACCAAATAGAGGAAGCTAATAAACACCAGTGATTTCAGTTTTAGGGATCGCTCCAAATTGCAAATAAACTAATGAAACCAACCATAATGAGCACATACCGGCTCAGACAGTAGTATAGTACTCTGTCATAGTCTAACCCCTTTGCCTATGACAGTGTAAGACTGTTCCTTACTTACTTGGCTTTCTTGAGAAAATTTCCCCAAAGTTAGCGTATGCTGTATACATATAGCCAGCGCATGGCAGGGCAGGGTAGAACAGATAACTGTGAAAAAAGAATAGTAGACTACCACTGAGTTAAAAGGATCAGTCAGTCTGGGTTTATCTGTCCTTGGTGGTCAGCTTATCAATCAGCTCCTGGAGTGGCACCAGCTCTTTCCTGTCAATCAAGTTAAACTCCTGAAAAAGACAAAGAGAGGAAGACTAGGATTAAAGCAGGCCATTGCTACAGATTGGTGATGGATACATTGTCGATCGTAAAGCACTTTGAACACCTGGAAAAGCGCTACATAAACCCAATCAAGTGTTACCATCTTTATATCTCAGTCCTACTGTAAAAAGGGTCATGGCCTCCAGTTCTTGGTTGCATAGACTGAGGATAGCCCGGCTGCCACTGTTTGAGTCAACATCAAATGAGCTAGCTAAAGCAGATATAAAAAAGACTGGGAACCAGGTACAGGTATTTCCATCTTTATCTTTTAATGTAGCCTTGACAGCACTACACCATTCCCAATAAGTGATAGGCCTACTGTATTCATTCCTGTGAAGTTCATGAAGGTGGGTTCCAGTGCTGAAATAATAGCCTTGGGAACCAGGCTACATTGATAGTGGGCTCCGGTCCAGTACCTGAACGAAGAAGATGAAGTGTTTGAAGGAGGTGTTGAGGTGGGCCTCCTCCTGCAGCTGCATCACAGAGTCAAAGTGTTGGTGGTAGATGTGGGCGTAGACCCTGAACAGGCGTTTCAGGATGGTCTTGGCCACAGACATAAAGTTACGCCTGAACGGGACACCTTGTGGGCAAAGAAGGTACAAAGTATATAGATTTAACAGGGTATAAAACAACTAAAGATAAATGATGGTGTCACTTCACTGGAAATGCAATGTAAAAATACATGGTTATGGCAAAACATGACGGACATGAACTCATACCTATCTTAGACGGAAAGAGTGTCTCGTCATCGAGCTGGTCCTGCACCCAGGTCATTAGGTAATCAATGTACTTGGGAGCTGAGCATTTGATCGGCTTCTTGATGTTGGTTCCATCTGCCCAATGATACTCATATCTATACAAAAAGAGTTACATGAATGGCAATTTATCATTATGACATAATGCAAGCAAGTCCACACACCCACACTTACTTAGGCCCAGCAGACATGACAGAACAGCTCTCTTCAGTGCAGAAGTCTGTTATGGTGCCATAGAGCATGTTGATCTGGTTGAAGAAATCTACAGCTGTGGACATAAATAAATAACAAGGACATGTGGCATCATGAGGGGCATGTGAGCTGAGCTCCAGAGCATTTATATCCTCCAGACAACATTCATATACAAGAAAATAAAAGTTAGTGTGTGATCTCAGATCTAATTAGTGTGTTGGCAGACATAGGGAACACAAAAGCACTCTCACACAATCATTCAGCCCTCCAGAGTTGCCTCTCCTGATACGCAGACTACAGCAAATTCAATCTTGCTCAAGGCCCCTGATTAGCTTGAGACGCCAATGCATCCCTCTCTCAAAACACACATGACCTACTACTGTATACACACTGAAGTCAGTAGAAGAGCAAAGCTCTGAAAGTTCCACCTGTCAAACCATCATCCCCTACTATACTGAGACATGAGGAATAACAACTTGGACGTCCTTTTTCACAGACAGCTCTGGCTTAGTGATGTTAGCGTAGCCTGGTTCTCTATTTGCTAATCTCACAGCAGAAACCCAGACAGTCCGTCCACTGCGTGACTGGGTTAGGTCATTAGTGTGTGTGTGTGTGCCAGAGGAAGTGAGACATACACTGGACGAGTCATCCGTCTTGGTGGAGACAGCAAAGACAGCACCGACGGGTGGACAATCATCTCTGTTTAACATTCAAAGTAGTTTTTTGGTCTGGAGTTTGTGTTAAAATCCTGCCCAGATCCTAGGCCCAATTCTTCATTGGAAATTAACTCAGCCTTGCAGACTGCTATTGAAACTGTGTAGACACTATGACACAATCAAGAGTTGACACTATGTTAGTGGTGTTAAGGGGATAGAGAAGTGGACGTGTTCCTTACTGTTGACTGCCACCCACTCGTTCAAGTCTTCCCCATCGGGTAGCATGACAGCCATGCGTAAGTTCCCACTGCCCAGTGTCGCCTCGGCATGTTTCAGCAGCTCATACTGGTGAGATCCCTCCGGGATGTTCTTCTTGGGCTTGAAGGTCTTGGACGACCGATTGCCACTGTGGGAGAAATTCAAATGGAAAGACAATGAAATGGATCAAGTGTGTGTGTGTTTCAAGTTATAATGTCACATGCACACAAGTACAGTGAAATGCCTTTCTTGCAAGCTCTAACCCCAACAATGCAGTAATCAATAACAATGTAATACTAAAAATAACATAAGGTAGAACAAAAACACACAAGATATAAAAATATGAACACGATATAGTAAGTAAGCATACTATATACAGGGTCAGTTCCAATACCATATTTACAATGTGCAGGGATACTGAATTGATAGAGGTAGATATGTGTAGGGGTAAGGTGACTAGGCATCAGGATATGATAAACAGAGTAGCAGCAGCATGTGTGTAGAGTCAGTCAGTATAAATGTATGTGCATATTATGTGTGTGTGAGCAAATGATGGAGTGAGTGTTTGTATGTGTGTTGGTGTGTAAAATAGTCCATGTAGCCATTTTGTTAGCTATTTGTGTGTGTGTGTTTGTCAGTCAGGGAGATTAGGGAAGTGAAGTAGGGAGTGATACAGTAGGCTAACGTTACTCATTTCTTTAATATAAATAAATAGCTATGGAATAGAAAAGAGCATATCATAATTTTCAACAATATCAACAAAAGATGACCTCACACACCCTCAATAAATAGCAACGGCCAAAGTACTCTCTTTGATGGTCAGCTAGTAACGTTAGCAATTTGGCTAAGAATGAAACGCCAGTGTTTGACAATGTTATGTCAACGGAGAAGAAAAAGCACTAATTGTAAAACGTCTTCTTTTTTCAGTCATAGCTAACTAGATACGCTGCTTAGCTAGCTAACAACTAAGGCCCATTTGCTTTCATGTACTGCATGTAGTTCGCTGGCTACCGTGATGATGCCACATACTTGCTAATTCTTTAGAGAGAGACAGTCATAGCGTATTTAGCCAACTTGCTAGCAATAGATAATAATAGCTAGCTATTTGTTATAACGTTAGCTATCTAGCTTGACTAGTTAGAAATCGTGGCATTTACAATGCAGCGTTCGGCTACAGACCTAGCTAAGTTAGTTAACGTTACCTACCTAGCTAGCTAGCTAGCTATCCAACCAACTAGCTAGCTAGATAACTAACATTACTGTACACTCCACATACACTCAGCTAGCTAGCCTTGCCATGTTGTAGCTAAACTTAGCCTAGCTATATGTGCTAGCATATAACGTTAACATAGCCAGCCGTGAAAATGTTAACGCATTAGCTTGAAAAGGCAGGCACATTGAACAAACCAAAATAATAAGTGGGAGACGAATACTCACAATAGAAAGCTCATGTTTCTATTCTTTATAACGTTACAATTTGAGCCTTCGTAGGACCGCGGTGTAGAGAGTCTAGGGAAGTCAAAACAAACGCTTCCAGTGTCAGTGGCTTGTCAAACTGGTCCAAATTACGGACTGTTTAAGCGGACCCTGAAACAAAACTTCGCCCTACCACTAAAATGTAGCTTTGCATCAGCGAGCTCTGCAACATCTAGCTACCTTGTCAAACTATAAAGTCGACAGCCCAAAACGTTTGCTTATCTGGATGACTAGCTAACATTACTGTGAGATCTGGTAAACTGCACAGCACACTTTTTTACAGCCAACTTCAACGATCCCTACTTGGAAATGAATTCTCGTGATAGAATCCCATTCACGTTTTCATAGTATTCTACTCTCACCAGCAGAGAGCAGTGTGGAATAATTTTTCTAGGACATATGATGGCGCCAACCAACACGGTCACCCTGTTTCTAGCTCCTAGCCAACTTTGCCTTATTTCGTGTGTTATTTTATTTATTGTACTTTTTACCCCTTTTTCTCCCCAATTGGTAGTTACAGTCTAGTCCCATCGCTGCAACTCCCCTACGGACTCGGGAGAGGCATGCGTCCTCCGAAACACGACCCTGCCAAGCCGCACTGACTGCTCGCTTAACCCGGAAGCCAGTCCCACCAATGTCAGAGGAAACACCGTACAACTGGCAACCGAAGTCAGCGTGCATGCGCCCGGCCCGCCACAAGGAGTCGCTAGAGCGCGATGGGACAAGGACATCCTGGCCGGCCAAACCCTCCCCTAACCCAGACGACGCTGGGCCAATTGTGCGCCACCTCATGGGTCTCCCGGTCGCAGCCGGCTGCGACACAGCCTGGGATCAAACCCGAGCACTGCCTTGGACTGCTGCGCCACTCGGGAGGCCCACCGTGTGTTATTTCTTACATATTTTCTCAGAATGTTTCTTGTATTATTACCTACAGACGAAAATAACTTTGAGATATTAGATTGGCGGTCACTCACCAGAAATTCTAGCAGAGATTCGACTTCCCTGACCTGGATCCTTTGTTTGAACTTCCAGAGGAAGCTCTATTCATCCCATGGGCTGCACCAAAACGCAGACGCCGGAGATGAGGAATAAGTGGGGCCCTAGTCAGACTCAGGCAGCGTGCATACCATCCACCGCTTCCGAATATATTACTCGCTAACGTTCAGTCCCTAGACAATAAAGTAGACGAGCTCAGGGTGAGGATCTCCTTCTAGAGAGACATTAGGGACTGTAACATATTCTGTTTTAAGGAATCATGGCTCTTTCCGGATATATTATTTACATTTAAGTCATTTAGCAGACGCTCTTATCCAGAGCGACTTACAGTTAGTGCATACATTTCTTTTATTTTTTTCATACTGACCCCCCGTGGGAATCGAACCCACAACCCTGGCGTTGCAAACGCCATGCTCTACCAACTGAGCTACATCCCTGCCGGCCATTCCCTCCCCTACCCTGGACAACGCTGGGCCAATTGTGCGCCGCCCCATGGGTCTCCCGGTCGCGGCCGACTACGACAGAGCCTGGATTCGAACCAGGATCTCTAGTGGCACAGCTAGCACTGCGATGCAGTGCCTTAGACCACTGCGCCACTCGTCTATTCAGCACCCTACTCGTATCCTCGTCTATTCAGCCAGTAGGGTGCTCCGTCCATCGCACGGACAGGAAGAAAGAACTCTCCGGGAGGTAAGCCAGTGGCGGCAGGTAGCCTAGTGGTTAAGAGCATTAGGCCAGTAGCTGAAAGGTCACTGGTTTGAATCTCTGAGCCTACTAGGTGATTGATCTGTTGATGTGAGCAAGGCACTTAACCCTAGTCACTCTGGATAAGAGTGTCTCTACTAAAATGTAAAAAGAAAGGCAGAGGGGATTGTTTCATGATTAACAACACATGGTGTGATTATGGTAAGGCAGAGGGGTTTGTTTCATGATTACCAACACATTATGTGATTGTGGTAACGTACAGGAACTCAAGTCCTTTTGTTTTCCCGATCTGGAATACCTCACCGTCAAATGCCGACCGCATTACCTCCAGAGAGAATTTTCTTCGGTCATCATCACTGCCGTGTATATTCCCCCCAAGCCGACACCGCGACAGCTCTCAAGGAACTACACTGGACTATGTGCAAACTGGAAACCGCATATTCTGAGGCCGCATTTATTGTAGCTGGGGACTTTAATAAAGGAAATCGGAGGAAAACGCTACCGAAATTCTATCAACACGTTTCCTGTGCTACATGCACATCAAGAACTCTGGATCATTGCTACTCTCCCTTCCGGGACGGCTACAAGGCCCTTCCCCACCCTCCCTTCTGCAAATCAGATCACGCCTCCATTCTGCTCCTTCCCACCTATAGGCAGAAACTTAAGCAGGAAGCACTTGTGGTAAGGACTGTTCAACGTTAGTCTGACCAATCGGAATTTATGCTTCAAGATTGCTTTGATCACGCAGACTCTGAAATGTTCCGGGTCGCCTCTGAGAATAGTGTCGACGTATTCACTGACTCAGTGACTGGGTTCATCAGGAAGTGCATAGAGGATGTTGTTCCTACTGTGATGATAAGAACTTATCCAAACCAAAAAAATTGGATAGATCGCAGCATTTGTGCAAAACTGAAAGTGCGAACCACCGCATTTAACCATGGCAAGGTGACAGAGAACATGGATGTGTACAAACAGACCAACTATGACCTCCATAAGGCAATCAGAGGCAAAACGACCCCCCCCCCCCCCCCCCCCCCCTCCTCAGACGATCCTGCTGGTGAAGAAGCCGGATGTGGAGGTCCTGAGCTGGCGTGGTTACACGTGGTCTTTGGTTGTGAGGCCGGTTGGATGTACTGCCAAATTCTCTAAAACGAAGTGGAGAAATTAACATTCAATTCTCTGGCAACAGCTCTGGTGGACATTCCTGCAGTCAGCATGCCAATTGCACGCTCCCTCAAAACTTGAGACATCTGTGTTAAAAAACTGCACATTTTAGAGTGGCCTTTTATTGTCCTCAGCACAAGGTGCACTTGTGTAATGATCATGCTGTTTAATGAGCTTCTTGATATACCACACCTGTCAGGTGGATGGATTATCTTGGCAAAAGAGAAATGCTCACTAACAGGGATGTAAACAAATTTGTGCACAACATTTTAGAGAAATAAGCTTTCAAATCAAATCAAATGTTGTTAGTCACATGCGCCCAATACAACAGGTGAAATGCTTACCTTACCGTGAAATGCTTACTTACAAGCCCTTAACCAACAATGCAGTTCAAGAAATAGAGCTAAGAAAATATTTACTAAATAAACTAAACTATGCATATGGAACGTTTCTGGGATCTTCTATTTCAGCACATGAAAAATGTGACCAACACTTTACATGTTGCATTTATATTTTTGTTCAGTATATGTGGCAGGGACCCCAGACAATCACGGATGATAGAGGGAAAGCCAGTCATGTCACGGACACAATGCCTCTCTCCCGGACAAGCTAAACACCTTCTTCGCGCACTTCGAGGAAAACAACATAGAGCCGCCAACGCAGGCCCCCGCCGTTCATGAGAACTGTGTGCTCTCATTCTCCATGGCCGACCTGAGTAACCCTCAGGTAACCCTTGCAAGGCTGCCGGCCCAGACGGCATCCCAAGCCGCATCCTCAGAGCTTGTGCAGACCAGCTGGCTGGAGTGTTTACGGACACATTCAATCTCTCCATATCCCAGTCTGTTGTCCCCACTTGCTTCAAGATGTCCACCATTGTTCCTGTACCCAAGAAAGCGAAGGTAACTGAACTAAATGGCGATTGCCCCGTAGCACTCACTTCTGTCATCATGAAGTGCTTTGAGAGGCTAGTTAAGGACCATGTCACCGCCATCTTAACTGGCACCCTAGACCCACTACAATTTGCCAACCTGGTCTCAGAGCATTTTGCATTATTCTGTATGTAAAGCAGAGACACTCCATTTAGTGTGATATTTTACTTTTCGTATGGCATGTATACATTTCTGTATGGCATAACCCATTTCGTATGATATGTTACAAATTCAATTCGTATTATGTGTTACGAATTTTCAAAATGTACAATATGTTACGAATTTGCAAAAAACGTATGATATGTTACGACTTTGCAACACATATGATATGTTACGAATTCTAGCTAGGTGGCTAATAATAGCTAGTTCGCTTACATTATCTAGGCTAGGGGTTAGGGTTAAGTTTAGGAGTTAGGTTAAAGGGTTAGGGTTAGGGGAAGGGTTAGCTAACATGCTAAGTAGTTGCAAAGTAGCTAAAAAGTAGTAAGTAGTTGAAAAGTTGCTAAAATGCTAAAGTTGTCTGTGATGAGATTTGAATTCGCAACCTTTGGGTTTCTAGACGTTTGAGTTATACGCTTACCCATCCACCCTGACCAACCTCACTACTTTCGTTTTCGCCTTAAGGAACCATCTGTCGTATGTAACCATACGAAACGTAACATATCATACTAAATGGAGTATCTCAGATTCACGTACAGAATTATACAAAATGCTCTGAGACCAGGTTGAATTTGCATACTGCCCCAACAGATCCATGGATGATGCAATCGCCATTGCACTGCACACTGCCATATCCCACCTGGACAAGAGGAATACCTATGTAAGAATGCTGTTCATCGACTACAGCTCAGCCTTCATACAGTGCCCTCCAAGCTCATCACTAAACTCAGGGCCCTAGGTCTGTATCCCTCCCTGTGCAACTGGGTACTTGACTTCCTGACGGGCTGACCCCAAGTGGTGAAGGTAGGCAACAACACCTCCACCACGCTGATTCTCAACATGGGGAACCCACATGGGTGCATGCACAGCCCCCTCCAGTACTCCCTGTTCACCCATGACTGTGTGGCCAAGCAGGTCTCCAACTCAATCATCAAGTTTGCTGACGACACAACAGTGGTAGGCCTGATTACCAACAACGACGAGACAGCCTACAGGGAAGAGGTGAGAGCCCTGGTGGAGTGGTGACAGGAAAAAACCTCTCCCTCAAGGCCAACAAAACGAAGGAGCTGATCGTGGACTACAGGAAACAGCAGAGAGAGCACGCCCCCATCCACATTGACGGAGCTGCAGGGGAGAGGGTCAAAAGCTTCAAGGTCCTCATAGTGCACATCACA